TCCCAGAGCTGCTGGGATAACAGGCAGCTAACTTTGCATTCTTAGAGTGGACATAATTAGTAAACTGCAGCACTGAAAGAGTTCCCTCACACAAATTAAGAAATAAAAGATGATAAGAGGAGGAAAAATCCAAGACAAACTAGTAAAAGAAGGCAATGACAGGCAGCTAGAGTGAAGACTAGTACTTGGGTGCTTGAAATTAAGGAGTATTTGAAAAGAATGTTGAAAGAGTAGGAAGTAAGGGAAGGACTGAAACATGCCACTTGTAAACTCATGTTGAAATAACTTAGTTTCCTCCATAAGCCTAGCTTCTGGAAGGGAGCTTCCAGGGTGACATCTTGAAGGTGCTCTTTCCTCACTGACTAACTGAGTTAGTACCTGTAATCATTTCTCACTTACCTGAACACAGGCCTCTTGTAAGCTCTCTGCCCACCATCCAGGGCTCTTTTCCTTGTTCCAGTAAAGAGATCACTTGAGGCTTAGGAATGTAAAATCCTGCTCATGAGAAAAGATATGGCACACGGTTATGCTGTGGGGAAATGAGATCCAGTCCCTTGCTGATCAAGGAACAGGTGCCACTACAGGAACAGCCAAAGAAGACAGAGACGAAGCTTCAGCCATAGCCCTTGGAGCTGCCCATTTCCCACGCTTCCTTTTCATTCCAGCTGAAACATTTATTTGAGAATAAGAAGCAGAAATTCAGCTGATTACTTGAAAAGCTGCTGAGAAATTCACTGTAGTAGAAGCAGACATTCCAGAGGAGAACTCTGAATTATTGGTAGAGATGCCCTTACCCATCGAAACCAGATTGCTATAGTTTTCCAACATCACATCTCTGTACAAGTCCCTCTGAGCAGGGTCCAGGCACTCCCACTCCTCCTGAGAGAAGTCTATTGACACATCATTGAACACCACTGATCCCTGAAACAATAAACATATGTACTAGCTTTGTGATAAAAAAAAATACTTCAGCCAGGCACAGTAGCACTTACTTGTAATCATAGTGATTTGGAAGGCTAAGGCAGGAGGATCTCACGTTTGAGGCTAGGTTTGGCAACTTGGAGAAACCCCATCTCAAAATAAAAAATAAAAAGGGCTTGGGGCTGGAGTTGTGGCTCAGTGGTAGAGCCCTAGCCTAGCACGTTTGAGGCTCTGGATTTGATCCTCAGCACCACATAAAAAWAAATAAATAAAATAAAGGTATWAAAAAATAAATACAAAGGGCTGGTCAAGCATGGTGGCACATGTCAATAATCCCAGTGCCTCAGGAGGCTGAGGCAGGAAGAACACAGGTTCAAAGCCAGCCTCAGCAATTTAGCGAGACTGTAAGCAACCTAGTGAGATCCTGTGTCAAAATAAAAAAAAAACAAGGTGGGGGTACTGGGTGTGTGGCTCAGTGGCAGACTGCCTGTAACCTCAACCCCAAGTACTGCCAAAAAAAAAAAAAAAAAAAGAAAGAAAGAAAAGAAAAAGAACAACTTCAGAGACTATTGTGGTTATATTGTGTGCTAAAGCAAATGAGTAATTATGTTGTTTTTACTGAGAAATAGTATCTGAATTTTTTGGTGGGAGGTGGGGCTCCGTGGTGCTGGGGACTAAAGCCAGGTCCTTGCACATGCTGGATAAGAGCTCTCCCAGTCTTTTTATCCTTTTTTAAAATTTTGAGACAGGGTCTCACTAAGTTGTCCAGGCTAGCCTAAAACTTGAAATCTTCCTGCCTCCCCTCCAAGTAGCTGGGATTATAGGCACGTGCCACCATGCCTGGCTTGAGAATCAGTATCTTTGGATCTCAAAAATAGGGCTGGGGATGTGGCTCAAGCAGTAGCACGCTCGCCTGGCATGCGTGGGGCACTGGGTTTGATCCTCAGCACCACATACAAATAAAATAAAGATGTTGTGTCCACCGAAAACCAAAAAAATAAATATTAAAAAAAATTCTCTCTCTCTCTCTTAAAAAAAAAATAGATGCAAGTCTAGCAGGACTGAAACATGCTGCTGCATTATTTCAGCCACTTATGTATATCTTTCTGTGCTAAGGCAACCTTAATTTATTGTTTCGGTATGTTAGTTGACCCAAAGAGCGGTTGGCAATTACATAGAAAGAATTGGAGAATACTGATTTTTTTTTCTAATACAGTGTGTAACTGTGTTTAACACAGATATTTTACATTGTTTCTATAAGTAAAAACATCACTCTTATTTAATATCTTTTTAAAAATTTTTTGTTGTAGATGGATAGAATGCCTTTATTTTATTTGTATATGGCGCTAAGAATCAAACCCAGTGCCTCATACATGCCAGGCAAGTGCTCTGCTACTGAGCTACAGCCCCAGCTCTCTCATTTAATATCTTGCTGTTTTAAGTTAACYGGGGCAGATCTTCTCCTTTGATTGGTTTGTTTTCTCTGCAAGGAGTCATGTAATGCTACACTGGATTGTCTAGAAAAAGCAGTCTCTTTATAACACAACTTCTATTAGTTAGGATGCTTAGGGAAGAGTTTTCTGGTAAGTCAGAAAATTCCCCCCCTTTTTTTCCCTATTTCAACACTGGTTGAAAAAACAAAATATTATATTTTTTTGTCTTAACACAGTTTCCTAGGTGAAATTGAACTGTTTCTTGATTTGAGATCACTTAGCGCTTTGGGATCATGATTTCTAAATATTAGGGATGATCGTAGGATTGCAGGTATTGCTAGTTAATTGAACTGGATGTAGCTCCTAAGATGAAGCAGGGTGTGTTCCCTGGAATTTTCCTTTTCAAATAAATCTCTCAATTTAAAAAAAAATAGATGTGAAAATAATAAGTTTACTTTACATTAAACAAATGAACAAACAAATCCTGTCTCTGTCCATTGTGATGGCCTAGAAATAATCACTGACCCAGGAGCACAGAACACTCCAAGTTCTGGATTATAGTTTTCTAAGTATCACTTTCAGGGAAAGAGCTAATTTTCAGGATTAAATAAAAAATGCTCAGGATGAGTGCGAAAATCTTGTTAGAACACGAAGCAARATATCTACCATAAACTGTTAGGATCATGCTGAAAACACTCAGGAGTCATTTTGAAGACTTTCCCTTGGCCCAAAATGGTACAACTTATGTATCAAATTATAAGGATAATTACTGAAATGGACTAATCATGTTAAAAACGTCAAATCCATGAGGTTATAATAATACTGAAAAAACTATTGGTAAGTTTTGGAGAACTGTAAGAAGCCAATGCATTATTTTGAAAACTGGTGAATAAATGCAAAAATTTAAATACTCTTTGCCACATGAACTGTTCTTTGTTGATGAGGAAAAATTTTGCTTTACAGAAGAAGGAATGCCAACATTAAAATACCAGTATGCAACCCCTAATGAGTTTAACAATAATTGTCAATGGTTGCTACATTATAAAAAGAAACAGAATCATCTATAATGTGACTTCTAATAGAATTACCCTTGATCTGTGAAATGTTCTGATCAAGTTTTTTTTTACACTTAACTACCAATTTTCAGAAAACATTTAAATGGGACCACAGTGATTCGATCAGTAAAATTCAGGCAGTGGACAATGAAGTTTATTTACTTACATTCCAATAAAAAGACTGCACAGAAAGAAGAGATGGATGGGTATCTACAAAATTAGAGACTCAAGAGACATACCAATCAACTGCAATGAACACTCCTTATCTGGATTCTAATTCAAATAAATGCTTTAAAAATAAGAGAATTATGAAAATATGAACACAACCAGATACCAATGGCCAAAATGGTAATAATAAATAATAAACAATCCTTGTCTTTCAGAGGTAGGTATCAATTTCTCTTTGCTTCAAAACAATCTACATGGAGGAGGAGGTAAGGGAGGAAACATAAAGTGGAATAAATGAATAAGATGAACTGTGAGCAGACAGCTGTTGAAGCTGGTGGTTATGTGGTAGTTCTTAAGACTACTCTACTTTGTATATCTGAAAAATTTCTGTAATAAAGTTTAGTTTTTAAAGGCAGGTGATAGAGAATAGTTACAACAGACTATCTGCAAGATCCTAATCACATATGTAAAATTGATTTAAACAAATTTGTGAAAGAACTCTCTTGTGAGGAAAGGAAGCAGAGAGTGCTGATATAGCAAATCTAAATCTGCACATACATTGCAAAGAAATAACTAGAAAATGTCTAAACTTGATTGATCAAGAAATAGTAATATATGAACATTAATTTAAAATATGGGATAAATTCCATTGCATCAGCCAAAAGAAATGAGGGAATCTGCCTTTAGACAGCAGGACAAAGTGAAGAGGAGGGCCC